GAGAGAGAGAGAGAGAGAGNGAGNGAGAGAGAGAGAGAGGTGCGCGCAGATGGAGAGAGGCGAGGGCGGCGAAGAACCCAGGTTCGACGAGGCGGATGGGTCAGCACGACGGCAGGCAACACAGGAGGCGGCGGACAGGTCCCGGCTGGGCGCAGGGGGCACCGGAAACACTCACGTCGAGCTTGCGCGCCTTCTGGAATTTGGTCTTGTCCGACGACGCCTTCCACTCGCTGGCGGCGTCGAGGAAGACGTACTTGTAGTTGCCGTTGAGCGGCTCCTTCCAGAAGGCGAGCCAGGTGACGTCCTTCTTCTCGACCACCTCGCCCCACTTGCCAAACGGCGGCTTGGGCGCCGGCTGGTTGGCGCTGTGGTTGATGGTGACGTCCTCGGGCATGGTGCGGCGCTTGACCTTGCCGGCCTTTGGGTGGGCGCCGCGGCCCAGAAAGAGGCCCGGCGGCTCGATGTTGAAGTTGCCAATCGACTGCTCGGCGCCGTCGACCCAGCAGGTGCGCCACTCCTTTTCCTGCGCCTTGCGCTCCTCGAGCTCGCGCTTCCGCTGCGACGGCGCCTTGGCCTTCTTGGCCGCCGCCTCGGCGTCCTTGATGCCGCGCCAGTGGTTGTACATGTCGCGGAAGTCGAGCTTGTCGAAGCTCTGGATCTTGAGGCCGTTGCGCGGCGGGTACTTTTTCAGGTAGCCCTTGAAGTCGTCGAAGAAGTTCTTGTTGAAGATGGGGTTCTTGGCGTGCTGGGTCTCGAGCTTGACGGCGTAGAACATGGCCACCTCTTCGCTCTCGGGCGGCAGCACCACCGGCTGGCCGTCGTACTTGAGCGTCACGTCCTTTGGCAGCGGCGTGTACGGCTCAGCGAAGCGCGGGCCGTTGTGCACCAGCGTGGTCCACTTCTGCTCGCCGTTGCCCGCCTCGTGCGTCTTGCGCGAGCCGCCCTTTTTCTGCAGCTTGGCCTTGATCTTGGACTTGACCTTCTTGGCCGCCTTGGCCACCTTGCCCATCGCCGAGCCGGCATCGGTGTCGGCGTCATCTCCATCGTCGTCGTCCTCCTCCTCCTCCTCTTCGTCATCCTCGTCGTCATCGTCATCGTCGTCGTCGGACCCGCTCGACCTCTTGCCGCGCACCGAGGCCGTCAGCGGTGCGTCCGAGTCGTCGCCCTCGTCGTCCGAGCCGGCCATGGTCGAGGGCGGCGCCGAGGCCACCACCGACGTTAGCGGCGCGTCCGAGTCGTCGCTGTCGTCGCCGTCGTCCGACGGGGCCTCCTTCTTGACCCCGTTGCTCTTGGCGAGCGGCGCATCATCGTCGTCGCTGCTGCCGTCGTCGCTGGGCGGTGGCTTGACGGCAAGGCCATTGCCATTGCCATTGCCGTTGCCGTTGACCTTGCCGTACGTCCTCGGACGCTTGGCCAGAGGTGCCGAGTCCTCCTCCTCGCTCAGGTCGCTGTCGCTGTCGGCAAGAGGCTTCTTGACTGGCGACGAGCCATTGAGCTTGCCGTGGCCGTTGCCGACGGGGAGGGTGAGCCCGTTGCCGAGCGGCGCTGCAGACGTGGAAGCCGACATGGTGGTTGCTGGATGGTGGCGATACAGAGGGGTGTTCGGTGGTGAAGCGCCGTCCGGAAACCACAGGGGGGGGTCAAAGCTGGTCGGAGCGACGCAAAGTCGATGTCGCGCTGGATGGGGGTGGCGAGCTGACTGTATGGCGAAGCGATAGCTTCAGAGCAGATTGCGCGCGCACCAGCGTTCGTACCAATTGGGAGGTGCGAGATGGGGAGAGCCAAAGGCACGGTGGTGGAGGCAAACGCAAGGACTCGCCCGTCGGGATAGGTTGGGTCAGGCCGGCTGAGCAGCAGCAGCAGTCAGGCGGCGGAGGCGGCGGCGACGCTGGTGTGAATCAACCTGTTCCGAAGGCTGTGCTGGCTACGGATAGGTTTCGCTAGAGCGCAGATCGGCGGATCAGGGGGTCGGTGGCTCGATTTGGCGGATGATATGGGTGACGAGGAGCACCGTGCTGGTCCAGCGCAGTCAAGTGCTGAACGAGGGTCGAGCGCGAATCGTGCCGATAGGCGCGTGTGGCGGAAGCGTCAAGGGCGGCTTTCGGCAAGGAGGCGGCCCGGGGTGAAAGCCAGACAAGACCGGCTGAGGGTGGGACGGCAGCAGACGACCAGCTGCCGAGTCGGACAAGAGGGAGCGTAGGTTTGCTGCGGGGCGCGTGGTGAGGGAGAGTGGCGATGATGATGATGATGGTGGTGGTGGTGGTGGCGATGGTGGTGGGTGAGAAGCAAGCAAGCGATCCCTGCCAGCGTCGAGACCCAGCTGCGATCCAACAGGCCAGGCAAGCCCAGGCAAGGCCAGGACAGGCTCGGACGCGCCGGCAGCCTTGCCAGATGGCCAGCATCCAGGCAGGCAGGGAACGGTTGGCCTCGAAGCCGCCGCCGCCTCCGCCAGCGAAAAAGCAACCGAGGCCGGGATTTTTTTGATTTTTTTTTCTCCCTCTCCTGCCCGCCCGCCTGCCCGCCCGCCTGCCTGCCTGCCAAACCCCCTTGCCCCGACCGGCTCCTGCAGGCAACAGGAAGGGCCGGGCTGGCTGGCTGGCCAGCAGGCAAGCCAGCAGGGTAGGCCAAGCTCCACACGATGCCTGCCAGGCCAGGCTGCGTCGCGCCGCTTGTAGCCCGCAGGCAGAGCGTGCCAGGCAGGAGGCCAGCCCAAGCCCGCTGGCCTCGTGCCTCGGGGACGGCAAGGCCTGCCTAGCCACGCCAGCTTCGAGTCCACCGAACGCGACGATGACGCGCTCGGCGAACCAGATTTTTCGCTCCCTGCCCGGCCAGGCCAGGCCAGGCCAAGCAGCCTGGCAAGTCCGGCGGGGACGTGGCTGGCTGGCGCGGTGAGGCAGGCCAGGCTAGGCAAATGCAAGCTCGACGGGCGTCGATCTGTCGGAGCCGTTCCGTGGGCCCGCCCCCCATGGCTGGCTGGGCGGCTCAGCGCGTCAGCAACTCAGCCTCTGCTTCCCCTCTTCGAAAAGGGTGAGCAGAGTCGTGACGGCTGTAAGCCCAGGTGAAGGGGAAGCTAAGCTTGGAGACGCCGGAGCGGCGGCGGGCGCTAGCGTTGGTACCTCGTCGATGGGGCCCACTTCGACAGCCTTGGAGCCAGAGCGACTGCTCGAGCTGGGCGGACCCGAAGAGCCGCTCGGGCTCACCCGATTGGGCTGGCCCCTGCCAAGATTCCATCTCCGAGTTTCAAACCCGGATCGGGCCGCGCCCGAGAGTGGGGGGCTGCGAGCCAGTTGGCGTGGCTCGGACGAGGGTCCGCGTTGGCTCGATGCGTCCGGCCTGCCTGCCTGCCTGGCCTCGCTCCTCCACATGTCAGCCTGTGCTGGCGTCGCGGGTGTGGCCTGTCGCCTGTCGGCTGTCTCTGGTCGCCTCTTCCGTCAGCCGCCTTTGGGGTCGTGTCGAGCGGCTGCCAGAGAGACCGGCCTCTTGGCACCGCTGGCCGCTGCCATGGCGGAGTGGGCCCGCTGGTCGGCTTGCGTCCGACAGATGGTGACGATGAGCCGCCCGCTCGCCACAGCGCGCAGCAGCACGTTGTAGGTCGACGACGATCAGAGCAAGCGGTCACGGCGGCTTGGTTTGGGATGGTCAAGCCGCCTGCCTGCTGAGCCTGGCCGCCACCTCCACCAGCCTCGTCTAGCTAGCGAGAGGTAGCGAGCGTCGTCTGCTGCCTGCCTGCGTCGCTCATCGGTCATTCTCGACGGGCTGACTCACGTCGAGCAGCTTGCTAGGCTCGCTACGCCAGCTTGCTTGAGCCTCGCACCACCGTAGCCTACCCTAGCCTACCATGGCCTCGTCGCCTCTTCGACATCGCCGCCTCGTCGTCGTCGTCGACTGATGACCTGAACCCCACGAGCGACGGCCAGGCGCGGTGTCGTGTGGCCCTCGCCCTCGCCGCTACTACTCTGCACCCTACCGTACCGCCCCCGCCCGCTGTGTTGGTCCTCGACCCACCCATCCGTCCTTCTCGCTCCTCGACCTCGGCCGACTTGATATCTACCCTCCCTGCCACTGCCTCACCCTCGTACCCCCGACCGCCACCGCCCCTCTTCCTTCCTTTGCCTATCCTTTCCGCCGCCTCGCGCAGATTGCCCGCTTGCCCGCTTGCCCGCTTGCATGTTTCGACCCTCGACCGCCTTGGCCGCCTCGACCTTGTCGTCTCTCCGTCCCCTCACCGCCGCCTCGTCGAGGAGGATCCCCGCTGCAGCACGCCTGGCAGCCATCGGCCAGCACCTCGTCCACCGCCCCTTTAGCGCGTCGGCCACCATGTCGGAAAAGACTTCCCAGGGTCACGAGGTCGTCAAGCCCCCCAACAGTGAGCAGCAGCGGCAGCGGCCGAGTTTGTCGATGCAGCGACCGGCCGACTGACCCATCATCGAGCCAACATCCCTCTTGCCCCCCGATGATTCGCCATCTGCAGCGGGTTGGAAGGGAGAGATCCCGAGCAAGAAGGGCGGCAGCGAGGCCGGCTACCTGCTCAAGGTGAGTCGTCGAATCAACCGCAGCGCCTGCTCATCCCCAACCAACCTGACCTCTGACGACCTCACCTCTGCCGCGTCTCGTCTCGCCTTCTCGACCTGTCCGGTTGGACAACCTCGTACAGCCGCCGTACGTCTGGCGCAGCGACGAATTCGAGGTCAAGTACACGGCAAAGTGCTGGTGCGGCAAGCGTGAGTGGCAGGTCCAGCGGCTTCTTCTTGGGTCATCCACCCCGGCTCTTCCTCTGGCTCTGCCCGGTGGACTTGCGCTTACCTCGCGCTTCCTGTCCTGCCCGTCCCTCGCTCGCTCGCGCCGCCTCTGTCTCCGACAGTCGAGTTCGAGTACCACGGCGACCCGATTGACGCCAAGCACTGCCACTGCACCCAGTGCCAGCGCCTCCACGGCGCTCCGTTCCAGTGGGCCGCCCTGTTCCACAAGACGTCGGTCCGCCTCGCCGAGAGCTGCGACCCCATCTATCTCGATTTCTTCTCGGTGAGTCTGGGCGTTCCAAGGTCCGCGGGGATGAGCTGCGTGGGACACCCCTCTGACCGCCACTTGGCCTTGACGACGACCACGGCGGCGGCGGCGGCGGCGGCATCATCCGACAGACGCAAGAGGGGCACAGCGACCACTCGGTGCCGTGCAAGATTTCGTGCCGCAACTGCCGGTCGCCCATGGCCGACGAGGGGCGCAACATGGTCATGGCCTACCCGTCGTCGTTCCGCTTCAAGGACGGCCACGTCCCCTCGACGTTTGCGCCCACGGCCCACATCTTTTACGGCGAGCGCGTCATGGACGTCGACGACGACGTGCCCAAGTGGAGCGGCCACAAGGAGTCGTCCGAGCTCATGCCCCACGCGCCCAAGGAGGAGGGCGACCGCACCTTTGGAAAGGACAAGACTCACAAGAAGGATAAGCTCGACCTCCAGCAGCAGCAGCAGAATGGGGATGGCGAGGGAGGAGGAGGAGAGGATGCGAGGGCCAAGAGGCCCAGGAACGGGGCTTGAGCGTCCGCCCGCCCCGTCCGCAGGGCCTGGTCCGGCCGGGGCTGCTAGTCCACCAGCCTCCGTCTTCCCGTCTGTCTTTGCAGTCTGCCCATTTGCCCCACGATGCCTGCTCACCAGTAGCACTACGATCAAGACGAGGGAATACACGCACGTCAGCTCCGTCAATCCCGCCTGTCGGTCGGTCTAGGCTGGGCCGTTGCAGAACGGTAGGTGCGCCATCCAATCGTCGCTCGCTGCTGCTGCTGCTGTATTGTCAAGTGCGAGGCTGCAAGGGAGAGAGAGAAGGAAAGGTAGGGGGAGCAAATGGGACCGGGACCTTGGTCGGGACGATGAATCGGGCCGCGATGTGGGTCCTAATCGACTCGGATGGCAGAGTAGATGCGCCTCAAGGACGCATAGGTAGCCAGGAATCCGACGGCGCCTGGTATGATGAGGGCAGAGAAGGACGAAACAGGGCGGCGGGGTGGGTTGAGATAAGGATGGACGAGCGTGCGATGCCATACGAGGCGCAGGGCGAGGGCGAGGGCGAGGACGAGGACGAGGACGAGGTGGCGACCAGGCCAGGTCAGCGCAGCGAGGGGACTCACCGAACAGGGCGAAAAAGAGCGAAGAGAGGATGGTCAGGTACCCGAGGAACAGGACCTTGTTGGCCGTACCTGGCAATTCGAGTCTCGACGTCCAGAAGAAGAGCTGCGCACCCCAACAAGGCAAGGGGAGATGCGGGGGAGGTCACTCGTGTCAGTTTGTCGATATTGTCTTGTCAGCCTTTCGGGGCCGATCAAGGAGGAGGTGAGGGAAGCGGGACGTACACCGTAGGCAAAGAGCCAGAATCCTCCCGCTCCGCCCGTGATAAACGAGCGCCAGTGCCACCGATAGTCTTCGGCGCACAGGTGGAAGTAGGTGAAGAGGATCGTCACTGTCGCCGTCGTCTATTGCGTCGTTTCCCCCCGTGTCCAACGAGGATAACCAGGCAGTGGAGCAGGGGCGGTGCGAGTCAGAGAGCGTTACGATGCAGCATCAACCCCACCGGGCAGGCCGGAGTGCGGACTCACGATGCCGGTAATGATGAATGCGAGCGCGAGGAAGCCAAAGGCGTAGTAGACCTTGGTGCCGAACATCGAGTTGAGGACTGCGGCGGATCGGGGCAGCGTCGAGTCGAGTCGAGTCGAGTCGAGTCGAGGGATGTGGTCAGTGACGTGGCGTGACGAGGCTCAGAGGCGCTCCTCTCTGCGCGGATCGGTCCACGTCTACGCACTGAAAAAGATCTCGAGGAAGCCCGAGGCAAACGTGAGCATGCCCGCCATCAGCGCCGACGGCAGCGGGCGGAGGTACCACGTCTGCTGGTGCGGGATCTGTCGAGGGATCGAGTTGACCTTGACCGGGTGCTGGCAAAGACAGAGAAAGAAGGGGACGCGCGCGCTGCGATCAGCCGAAGTCGATCGCTACATGAGGCTCGTCGTCAGCTCGCTGCGGCCCGCCGACTCACCTGGAAGCCGCCTCGACGGATGCCGACGACGGAGCCGAGCAGCGTGAGCGGCACGCTGATGAGGAACCACAATGCGATGAGCGCAAAGAACGTGCCAAACGGCACCGCGCCCGAAGACCCGCTAAAGATGAGGAAGTAGTTGAGCAGGCTGGCGTGGGGCAGGGAGGCAAGGAAGAGGAAGAAGAGAAGAGGAGAGCAGGCGATGCACATCGCGTCAGCCTCGCCGTCGCTCTCCGCCTGCAGGACCCTGTCCGTCGACTGGCTGGCAGCCGAGCGAACCGTCGAGACTCACTTGACGATGGCAAACACGGCGACGGGGAAGAGGGTGGCGGTGAGGAAGATGGTCTTTTTCCAGTTGTCGCCGCCGAGGCTGGCGTACGTCTTGCTCGACACGTAGCCGGCGATGCTGCCGAAGAGGGTCCAGGTGACAATCATGACGGTGCCGAGCGATCCGCGGTTCGAGGGGCTGAGGAAGCCGAGCAGCGCAAAGACGAGGGTGACGGCGGCCATGGCGACGAGCTGGCTGCCGGAGCCGACGAGGACCGAGAGGAGCATGGGATGGCGCGGCGGGCGGAAGACCTCGCCGTGGACGAGCTTCCAGCCAAAGTCTTCCTGGACGTCTTCGGTGAGGTCGATGGCGTTGTAGCGGTTGATGTCGCGGCTGACGGAGCGCATCAGGATCATGCCGACCTGCAGGCAGGGGGGCGCGGCGCGCAGGCAGATGCGAGAGGCGGGGGGTTGGAGAGCGAGGGAGAGTGCGATAGAGAGGGAGGCAAACGAAGTCGGCGATGAGCCGGCGCGACAGAGTCACAACAGCTGGGCGCAACGAGGGAACTGTCCGCCGGCAAGCGCAGACGCACCATGATGCAGAGGAAGGCGACAATGACGACCGAGTTGACGAGCGAGAACCAGTGGATGCGCGGGTCGAAGACCTTGAGGTAGGCGTCCCAGCGGGTGGCCCAGGGCGTGTCGCTCTGCTTCCAGTAGATGTTGTAGGTGTAGGCGACGTCGGTGGTCGAGGCGTTGCTGAGCTGGACCGAGCCGGCGGCCTTGCAGTTGGGCTGCTGGTTGGCGCCGACGCCGCGGAGCGAGTCGATGGTGAGCGGGTAGATCTTGGCGCCGACGACGCGGTACTCGTTGGGTGCGCGCTGGTGGTAGTCGATGTAGATGTCAAAGTGGTTGTTGAGGGCGGGCGGGTCGTAGGGGTTGAAGTGCTCGTCGAGCAGGCGGCCGAGGGCGAAGCCGGTCGAGAGGAACTCTTCGTGCGTCTTGACCTCTTTGCGCGACTCGGCCACGGGGAGGCCGTCGACCATCCAGTTGACTGCGTACTCCTCGCGTATCCGGTCGTTGATGAAGTTGGCGTGGTCTGGGGTGAGGCGGACGCGGCATAGCTCGTTGCACGTCTGGTCCTGGAGCATGGCCGCGCGTACGGGGCTGTTGTAGATGCGGTCGCCAAAGAGGACGCTGCCGAGGCCCTCGCTCTCTGGCTTTGGCCCTCCGTCGGGTGCGCAAAACTGGAAGCGCGGGTCGTAGTAGTCGTACATCAGGACGCTCTTTACCTGGGAGGTGAAGGCCTTTGCCTCGAGCGCGTTGACGGTGAAGGGGACGGGGTCGCCCTTGCGGTAGGAGCGAGGTGCGCTTCCGGGGAGGTACCATGCGTTGGCGGCGGTGGGCAGCTGGGCCAGTGTGAGGGCAACGAGGGCGGTGGTTGTGGCGGCGAGGGTGCGTTGGAGCAGCGCGCATCGACGCCCGCGTCCACGCCTCGGTCGCTCCTCGATGGCCGTCATTCTTGTTGCGGCGCGAGGGCGGTAGCTATGCGAGCCGATTCGCTGCAGCCAGGGAAGGAGCGGCGTCTTGCGACGAAGGCGATGATGGGGATCCGGACGATGCGATGGCAAAGGCGAGAGCAGCAGCGGTGGTGGCGCAAGGAAGGAAGGAGGTGGTGAGCCAGCAAGCCAGCCTTGGGAATTTCCAGGCCTGGAAAAATGCCGCCGCCGCCGCCGCCACCGCACCGGCCAGCGCAGCAGCGTCCGACTTTGCGCTGCACTGCGCTGCTGGCATGGCTCGTGCCCACCGGCAGGCTGCCTGGCGCCGGCCGGCCGCGGCCCGCGTTCCGAGCCAACCTGCCGGCCCGTCACACCAGCCCAGACCCACCGACGGACGGCCTCAAGCCGAAGACGACGAGCTGCCGACAGAGTCTGAGTAGTATGCCATGCTGCCAGCTCTCATCCTTCCTTGCCGCCCACCACGACCACCACCCCACCGACATCACCTTGGCCCACCCCATCTTCGTCGCTCCCGCCTGTTTACCCCCCTGCCTTGTCTTACCGACCGCCGCCCACCATGGCCAGCTCCACCGGGCGCAAGCTCAAGATCCTCATGGCCCATGGCTACACGTCCAACTCGTTCATCTTCTCCAAGCGCTCCGGCGCAATCCGCAGGGCCTGCCGCGACGTCGCAGACTTTACCTTTATCAACGGGCCCCTCCTCGTACAGCCCATCACAGACGTCTCCGCCATCGACGTCGACGCCCCCGAGGGCTCCCAGGGCCAAACAATCGACGAAAACACCCCCATCGAGGAACAGCCCCGCGCATGGTGGAGGACCAACGACGACGGCGTCTACCTAGACTGGGACGTATCCGTGCGCTACCTCAACGAGGTCCTCGAAAAAGAGGGCCCCTTTGACGCCGTATGGGGTTTCAGCCAGGGCGGATGCCTCGCCGGCCTCCTCGCCGCCGCCTTTGAGCACCCGGAAAAGGTGCCCGGCCTCCGCCTCCCCGCCAACCAGGGCCCCTTCCGCTTCGCCATCGCCGTATCCGGCTTCCGCAGCAGGGACCCCGTCCACCAGGCGCTCTTCGAAAAGCCCGTACAGACCCCCGTCCTGCACGTTCTCGGAAGGTGAGCTCATCCGCCCGCCCCGCCCATCCTGGCCGCCAAGACGATAACCACGGCCAAAGCACGCTTGCTGAATCTCCAACTCCCCCGCCGCTGCTCTTCTCTGGTCTCCTCCGCGCTTCGCAGAGCCGACCACATCGTCGACCTTGAGCGATCCCAGTCCCTCGTCGACATCTGCGCCAACTCCCGCGTCGAGCTCCACGACGGCGGCCACGCCCTACCCTCGCAGTGAGTGCCCCGCCTTGACACCTGTCCTCTGCTACCGCTGCTCTGCCGTACCAAGGCTGCACTGTCTCACCCTCTCAATCTTGCATGGCCACGCTTCTGCAGAGCGCCGTGGCGCAACTTCTTCCGCGACTTTGTCTCGACCTTCGCCTCGGATCCCTATGTGCCCAACGACGCCTGGCGCACCGTCGCTGGACCCTCGGACCGACCGCGTGGCGAGACGCCGGGCACCAGCGCCGCCGCCACCCCGCTCGCCTCGGGCACCACCACCCCCGTGACCTCCCAGGACCCCGCAGGTGAGCAGGCGTCCGCCGGACAGCTGGCAGCGGCGGCGGCGGCAGGTGGAGCGACCGCGGCAAAGACGCAGAAGCGCGACGTCGACCCGTCCAATCCAGGCAGGACGGTGCCGAGTAAGAAGTCCAACCAGCCCTTCTTGGCTCATCAGCGATGGCTGGAGGCCAAGGCGGCTGAGCGAGCCAAGGCCGGCCTGCCGCCCGTCGCGCAGGAGCCTAGGCGGCAGCAGAGCGCCGACGCCGCCCAACCTGGAGCGGCAGGCGCGCTGCTGTCGACCATCAAGATGGCGCTATTGGGCCTCGTGATTGCGGCGGCCGTCGGTCAGTTTATCGCCGGTGACGTCTTGTGGGGCTACCGCGGCAAGTGGGTCAAGTGGAAGACGTACTTTCCGGTGAGGATCTACGAGCCGCTCGACAAATTGCCCGCATCGGTCAGATGGGAGGAGTGGCGCAACAGAGAAAGTCACCGCCGTCGCTGTCGCCATCGCCGCCGCCGCCGCCGCCGCCGCTGGGGCGATTGCTGATGCAGTTCGAGAGACATGCTCAGCTGACTTGATCGCTCGCCCCTTTGTTCCACACAGCAACGTGAGAGGATCTTTTCGCAGCCGGAGCTGGCGCTGTACAACGGCCGGGATCCCAGCAAGCCGGTCTACGTGCGTACGGGTGTGCCGCCATGTGCGTCGGGTCGCTTTCCCTGAGCTACACGCCTCGCTGACTGCCTGCTTCTCCACACCCCCTCTTTGACCGTCAGATTGCGATCCTGGGCGACGTGTACGACGTCACGCCGTCGCGGCACATTTACGGACCGGGCGGCAGCTATTCGTTCTTCAGCGGCATCGACGCATCGCGGGCGTATGTGACGGGATGCTTCCAGGAGCACCTGACGCACGACGTCCGTGGCCTCGACGATTCGCAGATGAAGGTGAGCCGTGGTGCCGGCCTGCCCGTCGGTCGATGCTGCCGTGCGTGGACGTGGTGACGCAGGAAGGAGGCTGACCCGCGCGGCCGTTCCTCGCCCTTTTTTTCCTCGCCCTCCCTCCCGCCTGCCTCACATAGGCGCTGCTCGGATGGAAGTCGTTCTACGACAAGAGCGACAAGTACGACAAGGTGGGCCGGGTCGTGTTGCCGCAGCTGGGCGACGACGTGCCCATCCCGGAGATGTGCGAGAGCGCGACGCCGCAGCAGTCCTAGTCCTAGGCGGCTGTCGGCGGTCGGCGGTCGGCCATAGAGCGACCAGAAACGGGAATAGAAGCCTAGACGCAGAACCAGCCGATCGGTTGTGTGCGTGTGAGCGATGCACAGGCATGGTCGCGCCCGCTCGACCTGGCGTCCTCGGTCGGATGCCCTCAGTCGTGCTGGCCAAGACGCGCGGTCGCCCCCCAGTCCATCACTGCAACGACACTCGGGCCTGGACCGCGGAGAAGAGCAGTTACCACGTTTGAGCCGCGCAGGGCAACATATACCGGGCCCTGGGCAGACCTCGCTGGTGCTACTGCCCGACCCCTGGCACACTGGCGACTCTGCTCCTCGAATGTGGACGCCTTGCCTGGTTTGCCCCCACTCAAACCTCCTCGCTCGCCCTGTCTAGCCTCTTCCTTCCTCTCTCTCCACCTTTGGAGTGCGTCGAAGAGGAGGCAAGGAGACGGGAGATCAACCCGACCACTTTGCCACTCGTCGAGGCCGGCGGGATCCATGCGGCGTTCAGGGAGGCGACGAGGCCAGCACAGAGGTCGAACCCAGACGCGCAGCGACGAGACGAGCGGCGCGGGCTCTGTTCGCATACCCGCCCGCTCTCGTGCGTCATTCTCATCTGCATCGGAAGTCACTCCCGCGATGCGTACAATGCTCACCATCCAGTGGGCTCGCTCGAGCATGCAATGGTCCTTCCGTCTGTGCAATTATATCGGTCCCACGCGGGCTGGTGCAGACCCAGACCCAGAGCCAGAGCCAGAGCATGGTTTGCCGGTCGATACGTGCCTCTCTCCGGGTTCCAGAAGCGCAAAGGCCGGATCACACCGCCAATGCCGCAGCATGGGCTGGCTTGGCGTCGTACAACCCGTCCAGGGCGCGATCGATCGGGGCCGGTCCGAGAACATCGCTGCACAACGGCGCTCCCGAGCAGACCAAAGTTGTGGCGCAGAGAAGCGGTGGCTTGGCGGCATTCCCATTCCGCGTCCCCGACATGACGCCGGTCGCGGTGGGATCGAAGGACGAGGAGAACGAGAGTCCGATCTGCGTCTGCAACGGTACATACGGTACGGCGTGGCGGAGGTAAAGAACAGAACGGTAAGCAAGCAGCACAAAGGATGTACAGAGGTCGAGGTCGGGGTCGGGGTCGGAGAAGCACGGAGCGACCAGACCGCCGCTGCTTGTCGATGTCGATCTCGGAACCAGGCAGGCCAGGCCAGGCCTGGCCTGGCCAGGTGGTGGATTTCCCACGCTCTCTCCGATATGAGGTCCTGCCCGCGCTCTGTTCAAAGCCGGATGGCGTCGGCATCGGGCTCGATAGCTCGCAACCTGTCACACGGACAACGTGTCCCTTCTCCCCTACTCACAACCTTCTTCCCCCGCCCGGGCGTCTATCGAACAGAGATCCCGCCTATCCCTCCTGCTCATGCATCAGCCTAGCCATCAATCAAGGAGGGAGGAACAGGTACAGATTCCCGGCCGGCTTCCGGAAACGCATCGGGTATCACGCCTCCCCCCCCCCCCCATCCCTCTTCCATCCCCGGTCCATCTCCGGAGGAAGCCTTCCGTCGTTTTGTTTGCTTTGAGCCGCGGGGATGCTGTCCCCTTCGTCGTCTAGAGGAAGGGTCGAGACCGTCGCTCTGACCTCCATTGGTCTGTCCAACCTCTCGCCGCTCTCTCTTCCTCATGGCTATTCGTCTGTCCGCCACGCACTGGGCACTGGCTGCACCCCGTCTACGATCTTCCAGTCATTGCCTGCCTTCCCGCCCGCCTGCCTGCACAGCGCCAAAACCCGCCACTGGATGTGCCGCCGCGACCACCACGACCACGGCCTGCATCCTTGTCGTCTTTCGGGTAGCCTTGTCCGTTCGTGCGGAATGGCGTGGTCCACGCCGTGCAGCGGCTACTTGTCGCCCCTCCGGCTTTCCATGTCCGGAGATCCTGTGCCGCGAGAAAAGACAAGAGAGACGGATACGCTCGCCAGTCGCCACGCCATGCCACAGCAACCCGATGCGATGTCCGTAGCAACGAGGCCCGAAGACGGCGGACGGGACGACGACGAGCGATGCACGACGGATCTCGATCTCTTGGCTTGCTTGCTTGCCCCCGTTCTCTCGAATGGCTTGCCAAGAGAGGACAGGGTGGCGTCCCCACTCACAAGTCTACTGCAGCCGCGCACATATGTGCAGCACACCAGAACGCATCTGTGGCCCCTGTACATCAGCTGCCCGCCTGCCATTGTTGCCACAGTATGTACAGTACATACGTGGCTTAGCTGCCTGGTAGGCATGGCCAGGACGGAGAGCGAGTAGAAGCGAGAAAGGGGCAGTGGCATCATGGTGCCCGTGCGTTAGCGTCCTGAGCTGCAACCTGCATGGGCGGTGGCAAACCGTGCTCAGAGGGTCGACGAGTGATGGCGGCGAAAAGCGACAATGGCGGCAGGCAGGGTCAATGAGGCTACCTTGGGGTGACTGGACGACGATTGAGGCCCACACGGGCATCGCCAGTCAGCTTGCGCTATCCAGTCGTACGTGGTTTCGCACCTACCGCGGACGTCCTCCATCTTCTCCCCATGGTCGTTCGCCCAAGCCCGTCATGCTGCTCTGTTGCCGGCCATCTCATCTCATTGGTGACTCATGGAGCCGCCTCGACCTTGCCCTAGACGACGCTACGCAGGAGGCGATGAAGCTACTGTACATATGTACCTACGATCTGAGGGTTGTGACGAACGCCGAAGAGACGCGTTGCGCCCTCTACTGTAAACGAGCAGGAGGGAGCACAAGGTCGGACGTCGAGCGGCAACCCCCAGGTGACTTCTGGAAGTCGAACCCCGGATATCCTCTCAGTATCTGGCAGGCTCCCAAGCATCGGGTATGGAGATGGCGCGGATCGTCTGGGATTGAAACGCGACGCACACGGGGGCGAGGCCGGCGCGACCAGACGAGAGAACGGAGGTGGTGGGCGCTGAGGTGGCACGGCGAGAGGGGTGAGCAGGGACATGCCTGTCGCGCGGGCTAGACCGGGATGGGGCTGCGGCTGGTATGGCTGTTCTCCCCAACATTACTGGCTTCACGCAGGCAGTAGTCAAGACTCAGTCGCCGGCTGGGTTACGGCGAGAATGATGTTGGCGAGATCGATGTGACGGCCACCTCGTCGCGCCGCCTGACTTCCAAGCCAGGCCAGGCCAGGCTGGATCGTCGACGTGCGCGGAACAGGCCAGGCCAGGCAAAGCCAGGAGGCAACACGAGGTCAGCCAGACGAGCGGTCCGAGAGAGGGACGGCTTGTGGCCTTGCGGCGCAGAGCGGCTCCTGATATCGAGCTCGCTTGCTTCCTGCTGCAACGGCGCTAACTAAGGCCACAGGGCCCGGTCGGAAAGGGTCGAGCGAAGGAGTCGAGGTCCCTAGGTACATGGGGCTGTTACGGGCATGAATCGAACGGGGCGCTGTCGGCGAGCCCCAGCTACAGTGGCCAAGCTTCATTCTCGCATCACTCTAACTGCCCGTCAGCCTACTGTAACGGCCCGGTGGTTCAGCAGCCCATGCATGGTGTCGGTAGCGCTTGGCGGCGTAGGCGAGGGGTGAGGTCGCAGATCCCGTTTCACGTTCAAGATGGGAGCCGCTGTCCTCCCCCGTTTGGCTCCTTCCCGACCCCATCGCCAGACCGGGCTCGCTCCCGCCCACTGGCTTGGCAGGCTAGGACGTCGTATGTACAGTACGTACCGTGCCCCGGGTGGCAGACCCGCCTCAGCTTGCCAAGCGACCTCGCGACGGCCGAGCTGACCTGGTATGACCGCGTCGGCCTTTCGACGGCAAGCAAGCAGACACACATGCGACGGCAAGCGAGTGCGGGGTAAGCACAAGCAGCGCGTACTGCCGGGCGGCCATAGGGTCACGGTCGAGGTGTCAGCATGATGCTCTTTCTCCCTTCGAGACCGACAGGCTGGCGGTTTCATGGGGACACTCGCGCCACTGCAACGTCGACTGGCCGACTACCGAGAGCGCTTTTGCCGCACGCCATACGAGAACGAGGAAGGGACCTCGTCGGTACAGCCAGACCCGGAGACCTTGGGTAGGTAGAAGGCAAGGTTATCGTCGCCGACGGAAGACCAGCGCTGCAAGCAGACACATACGTACATGGGTACTTTCTGCGGATTTTACGTCGTTCGGAAACCCGGTCACGGGTACCAGGCAAGCTTCACACTGTACCGCTGCCCGCTGCGCGGTGATCACCGCCGGGATGGCTTACGAGCGAGACAATGGGAAGGGACGACTCAGGTCGGGCGGAGAAGCCAGGCAATCTCCCCCTCCTGTCCTCCCCGCACTCTGGCATCCGAGCGCGCATCAAAAGAATCTTGATGGCGAGCCTGACGAGGCACAGCGTGGACTCTTCTCTTGATCCTTTCAATGACCGAGGCTGCGGGCGAGCCTTCCATACTGTGCACGCACGACAGCACAACAGTCGTCTCGCTGCGTTCGATCCTGCGGCAGAGTCGCCATCCAGAGGCGCTGTTCGAGGAGCGGTGACGCGGTGATGCTGAAAAAGCAGGTGGCAAAGAAGATTAAAAAAGAGATTGTGCCCAGGTGACTGGCACAGCCAGCAGATGGTCGCGCGAATCGGCCAGCGGTTCAGACGTGACTAGGCTTGCAAGTGGAGATTTGTGTTGTGTTGTCGCGATTCGGGCCGACGGGCTGAATCCAAGCAAAGCTGCCACAGTGGCACAAGTGGCCAAGATCTCGTCACAGATGGGCGCCGCGTCACCGGCGGCCCGAGCCGAATGGGGCGCGTCCGAGAGCGTACTGTAGCGGCGTCTCGATCTCTTGCCAAGCAAGGTTCCCATGCACGTACGTCGTCTGGGCGAGATGTACTGTAGATGCGGGCCCGCCGCGCTCCCATTGCGCAGCGCAACGCCCGCCGTTCGGGGCTGGCGGGCCAAAACGCCTGCAAGCAAGTGAACGACTTGCGGCCCGCGGCGGCGTCGGCGGCGGCGACCTCGCCTAAGGCG